TGTGTGTGTGTGTGTGTGTTTTGGTGACTTAGTGACCAGGCAGGTAGTTGAAGAAGTGGTCTTTATCCATATTAAGAGGCTGTTTTTTAGAGAGATACAAAGGCACCTTTATATAACCCAAACACTAACACAATGACACTATGGTGGCCTTAATCATTATTGTAAGAAATAAGATTTGCTGCAAAGCAATAGATAACTAACATATTCACTAAGTCAGCAAATTTTAGTGAAAATAATACTGAAAATCGGGTAACTTTGGGTTCAAGCCCAGGTGGCACCATAAGCTTTCCTTATGAAACTGGATGAACCTCTTAACCTCTCCAAACCACACAGTCTTTTCTCAGAAAAACAAGCAGCTTCATTGGACGTTTTTTAAAGTCACTCTAGCTATAGAGTTTCCTACTGTTGACAGCAATTGTATATCCAAGTTAATTGAAGCTTCAGTTTTGGAATACTGTTACTAATTATTTAGAAAAAAACAGATTCTCATCTGCTAAAGAAAGATGACAATTCTTAGCTTTCTCAGAACAATAGTTCTCCAAAATATAGCAGCTTTGGGAGGTTCTTTCCTTTTACAAGCTGCAAAGAACAATACGGTCAGATGCACAGAACTGGTTTGCCTGTGCAAACCTAATTCTAATGATGAACTTAGAGAATCTTCAAAACATTTCCTTATTTGAGAGAACATGAGTTCCAAAAATCCTCAGCCATGACAATAAAGCCTAACTAGAGAAATCTGCAGACTTATGGACTGAAAGCTTTGTGCCTAATTTTCAGAGTTCCCATTTCCTAATTTCTCATATAATTTTAGTAGTAAGAACTAAAAATGGCATGTACTATCCACCAATTCCACCACGGACATCATTGTATATGCTTATTTTGTAGCCTTTCAATGGTAACCCAAAATTTTTTAATGTGAACATTTCCTGAATAATCAAAATTTTGTAATTGGACTCAGTTAAAGGCTGTGAATGTATCTGTGAGTGTATCAGTGAATGTATCTGTGAGTCAGATATCCAAGTGTTTATAATCTGTTTCTTACCGGTGTGACCCTGGATAAGACATTATCCTCTCTGAGCTGACTTTTTCTGTTCTATACAAAGGTATGGTGAGTGCTGTGGCATAGCTCGGTGGTAGAGCAATTGTCTAGCATTCATGAGGGCCTGGATTCAATCCCCAGCTCTGGAAACAAGAACAACAATAATAAAAACAACAAAGAAAAAGGTATGATGATACCTTCCCTGATGATTTCACAAGGATATTGTGAACATCAAATCAGAGGATTAAATTGAGAGGTTTTTTTAATAAACACTCGATGGCCAGCATCCACAGGAAAGAAAAGCGAGAGGTTTAAACAATTTTCAAAATGAATGCAACGGCTGAAAGTCACTATAAATCCATAAAGCAGTAAAGTCTGAGATTATGATTAAATGATTAACACCATGATATGATTTGGATATAAGGTATCATCCCCACACAAAAGCTCACGTGTTAGGCAATGCAGGAATGTTCAGAAGTGAAATGACTAGATTATGAGAGTTGAACTTCATCACTGGATTAATCCATTTGAAGGATTAAGAATTTGAATGGACAACTGGGTGGTGACCCTAGGATAGTAGGGCGTGGCTGAAGGAAGTTAGTCTCTGAGAGTGTGCTCTTGGGGATTGCATATTGTCCTTGGCCTCCCTCCCTGCCCCCCCCTCTCCTAGTCCTCTCTGCCATGAGCCAGGCAGCTTTCCTTCTCCACAACATTTCACCATAATGATCTGCCTCCCCTCAGACCCAGAGCAATGGAGTCACCTAACCATGGACTAAACCTCTCATGCCTTGAGTCTAAAATAAACTTTTCCTCCTCTAAGTTGTTCATGTCTGGTTCACAGAAACAAAAACCTAATGAACACAAGATCTAGACTGTACGTTTCCTTATTTATGGTTGTTTATTTTGCCAGGTGATTGTTTTCCTGTGTTCTTTTTTTAGCCCTTGTACATGGCCTGCTCATTCATGGACTCAGTAATTTAACCAAACATTCATTGACCACCTGGTGAATATGCAGGACACAGATGATCAAGACCTGGTTCCTGGTCTAGAAGCTCACAGCCAGCTGAAGTCACCAAGCAGTAAGTCTTCTCAAGGTAAGGGGAAGCAGCAATAACGAAGCCATGACTAGATGCCACAGGATCAAAAGGAGGAGCTATGTCTTTTCTGAGGGACAGGAAAAAAAAATGTACTAGAATGGCCTTGCAAAGGAAGTGGTGACATTTGTGCTCTATCTTAAAGGGTAAAAAAAAAAAAAAATTTCTAGTCAGAAAAGGAACTCACAGGACATGCTAAGAACTTTAATAATAATAAAATGATAATAGGAGCTAAAGTCTGTCATGCATTTGCTATGTGATAAGAGTTTAGATTCCATATTTTAAAGTTGAAGGAAGATATTTTTCACACTATATTAGGTATTTAACATCCCAAATTTTCAATTCCTGATTTTTTTATTTACATAATCTTTTGGCAAGTTAATGCCTCTAATTGGTACCTCAGTGCCATGGTTCCATCCACTGAAAACTTACCTCAAGGCAATGCATTTAGCAGTTTCTAAAATGCACCTTTTGGTTCAATTTTGAAGACAGAATTAATGATTAATAATTAACACATACAAATTGTAATAATTTAGCAATAATACATTTTAAGAGTCTAATCTTCCTATTTATAAGGTGCTCGATCTGAAAAAATAGCAAATAAAATGCTAGCTATTGGAACAGTTAACAATTTAACTTGCTCTTTCTCTGACACCAGTGAAAGGGTATTATTTATCACACTAAGTATATATTATAATCTTCTGTTGATAGTAAAAGATCAAAGATTACCTTGCATCAAACAGAATTATGATGCCATAACATTTTATCTTGTTACAGCTGATATCAATCACTAGGTGACAGTGAGCTGCAGAGCAGATTTTTCAGTCAGTGTCCCTGACGTGCTCAAATATCTGAAATACAGCCACCAACTTCTATGTGCTTTGGTTGTGAAAGTGAAAAACATGGCATAAGCAAATAGATAGCTGAATGCTAATATCATACACATTACCAAAGACTATTTGGTTCCTGAGGACCTAGCATGTATTCTTACCTAAACCTTCATCAAAAGAGAGAGAAGTGAGCATCAATAAAAGAGAAAATGGGCATTATCTTAAGGGAAAATGGTGACATTCTCCATCATGAGATTAGGGCAAAGACCCTTCCTGGCATAACTCTCCAGAGACACATGTATTTCCACCCTGTCATTGGAAAGCTGTACAAGGCCCTAACTGAAGTCACAAATCTCCTGAGAAAATCCTCTTTCTCCAGAGGGGTCATAGCCTCTTTCCTGGGTCTATTTTGAGTTATATCTTAGATTCACTCAGTGGGTAAACGGGGCTAACTTTCCCTCTCCTGTGGTTTTGTAACTGCACAAGACCTTTCCTGCTTTCTAATATTGGTGGCTTTGCTTTGCAGGAGAAGATAGAGCAGGGTCCTTGAGTTTTTGCAATGTTCAGTGTGCATCCAAGTTTTTCGAATACTTAAGCTACACAGAGGAAAACATTTTAGTTGGAAAATCATTTGTTCGTTTTCATATGCAAATTTTAGCATGCTGATTCATGTCAAAAACTCAACATCTTATTCAATCCTTTGTCAAATTTGCTTCTTTCTTATTACTTCTTTAAGTGGAATAACAGAATAAGAAGAGTTTTATTATAAACTCCACATTTTAACCTTTCCAAGTATTCACTGGACTATAAAGTATTTAGCATTTGGGAATTGCTACATTATTTATATTAAGAACAGTTGCCTACCTGTGAATCACAAAACCATTTTCCTGAAAATTTTATATTTTCTATTTTTCCCTATGTCAAGATGGTCATATACTACATCATAGAGAATACAGCAAAACCTTTCCAAACTTGAAAAATTATTGGATGGGGATATTCATTTTTATGTAAACTATATGCATATTCATACAAAACAGTTTGAAAAATGTATCAGATATAATTAGCATGTTTATGAATCTATTTGCTTTGCTATTAAGTAACAAATTTGTAGTAACCATGGTAACTGCAACATCACAGGCACAAGTTCTATTTTTGTAATAGCATGAGTACTTTTCTTAAAGCAACATTCCTGCTCAAATCCTACATTTTTAAAATATGAAAAGTAGTATTTTTTAAACATATCATTTAATTTTTCACTTTATAAAGGCACATTTTATATTTTGAGCTTATTTTCAATTAAAAGCTATCTATTGATGTGTGCTGCTTCTCTGTGTGTGTTTGCCAAAAATAATATTTAAGTTTAAAGGGAAAAAACATCAAATATTAGAATTACATTATACTAACTGATGTGGTTATAAGACTATTGACTATCTCAGAGTCCATTTCATCTGAAACAGTACAAACATGAGTTTTCCAAATTTTTAAAGTGAAAATGAAAGTCAAATATGGTTTCTCGTTTAATTTTTATTTAAATTTCTTCTTTAATCTCAATCGCCATGTTCTATCAAAATCAAAATAACATTTTTTTCTCAATTTATGGAAACTATGTTAATATTAATATTTTGTTAAAAGAATTAATTGAACTATTACTTGTTCATCCACACAGTACTGCCTCTTCTAGAAATCTGGATGTTACATGAAACATCTGTGAGCCTAACTCTCCCGCCTTCTTAACGGAGCTAATGGTACCACTGTTTGAAATACTGTAGAGAAGGTAAAATCGAAAAATATTAATATGATGAAAACTTCCTTATGCGTTAAAAATTATAAATCTACATTCAGGTGTGTTTTGCTACAAATATCAAATCTTACCCTGAAATGAGATTTGCAGACTCTTTGAATTTCTCCAAAAGTGACAGAAATAAAATGGGTATCTGGGCATTGGGATGAGGAGATTGGGAGAGGGGTTAGGTAAAAAGAATTCTGGCCTGGGCTTGAGTGCTCCACTCAGTATCCTACAGATCATCATTTTTTCTCAACTGTATATGGGACAACATGGATTTTTACATGAAGAACTATAGAGCAGTCATCATACTCTTGAACATAATACCTATAGTTTACTGGAACCTCATTCACCGGCCTGAGCAAGTAGAGGGCTAAAGAGAAATTAAGATGTACAAATGAGCTTGGTATCTTAGCTAGGTGCTATGAACACAGACTAGAAGGAGATTTCTCTGATGAGAATGTAAGAGATAGTGGTTGAGCCAGGACTCAGATGGCATTGAGCTGAAAAGGGTACAACTTTATTTCAGACAGAGAGGCCTTGATCATCCCGAGGCAAAGAAATGAGCTTAAAGTCAAACCAGATGGTGAACAGCAGAAAGCAAACCAAGGTATACTGAACACTGCAGCTGGCAAAAGGAAGGAGACCCAGAGACAGGAGCACTGAATCTATGATGGTCCTCCACTACTGATAGGCGCAAGACTGTCCTGATCATTCAATTAAAACATTACATCCCCTGCTGCCCCTTACTCTGCTCCACTTTCTTCATGGCATTTTTCACATTGAGCATATACCACATAATTCCTTTTTCACCCTATTTAAGTGTTCACCTCCCTGGAAACTCCAGAGACTTCAGCACTGTCAGATCCTGGGGAACTATTCCTCACAGAATAAAGATTTAGAATGGAGCTTGGAACCTAATAAGCACACCGTGGAGGATACTTGTTAGTAATATTGTAACTTTTACTTTGTTCAGATAATCTAAATTTAAGGTCTTCCTGAAGCTATTGACAATGGAAATAATGAAAGTCTATTGTTTTTTGGAAAAAGAATTTAAGTTAGTTTCAATCAATCAATCAAAAAAAAATTTAAGCATGAATATTTCCCCAGTCTCCCAGGAGACTATAAACAACTATATATTAATCCATTAGATTATTTGGTTCATCAATTTAGGTGTGAAATTGAACAAATACTCAATTATCCAAGTCAGGAAATAATTTTCCGAGTCTCATTTTGTCTATTTCTGTGGATTCCACGCATACCTTTATCTCTTTAAACTCTCTTCTTTATTCATAAAAAAATAATTTGAAAAGTCTATCTCTTCAGCAATTGAATAGCCCCTAGAATGAGTTGCTTGTTCCACAGTAGATTCACATTTTAACTGATTTGTTATCATTCAGAAATTTAGGGAGAAAATTAATGATGGTAAGTGTGAT